AGCGTTGTATTGTATTGTGTTTTTATGGAAGTAAATGTATGCTGTTTAAAAACCTCGCGATTGCTGAACAAGAAAACGACACATTCATATTCCAATGCCGAGGTTAAGAGAAAGTCGATCCTGGGAACTATGCTGGGATAGCTTTTCCGTTGAAACTTGATAATTTGATAATCTTACGATCTTCGCTAATCTATAAACTTTGAACTTCTGAAGTACTCTAGCAATCGAGAAATTATCGCCAGATATCGAAAAACCAGCTTCGTCAAGAAAAGGCAAAGGCTGGTTCAACTGTTTAGATTAATATGTCAGAAAGCCAAAGCATGGTATGTATGTATTCTCCCTGAAATCCCTATTTATATACATCTATATTTCAGAAAGGATCGAGGGCTACTAGCATTAGACATGTCAAAGAGGAATGAAACGAGTAAAAACGTGCTGGTACCCTCACCGCATGTGAGGACGGGCTTCTGTAATGGTGAACTGAAACGTGGGGAATGATCACTAACCTCTCATACATTTTTTATAAGGGGCTTCAGAAAGAAATGCTTAATAACTATCTTAGGCACTTTGCTTCGAAGCTGGCTCTGTAATGTTTTCGTACGCCAATGTCTTCGCACTTGTGGAAACATTGGATGACGAAGGGGTCACGACCACAACAGAAAGTTCTGGCTACTCAATATACAGTTATTTGCTGTAAACTATTCATGCTTTCCTGTCTTGCTTCTCCACCTTATAACTTAATCATCACTGGTGTGCTGAAGTTACATTATAATCCATACATTACCGCTTTATGCTTGTTAGTTCGCTCTGTTGGTCTTGTTGCATTATTTATAAAAGGATTAACAACCCAAGTTTAAGGTAAAATTAGCTAAACTCGAAATACAATAGTCCACTTTCCATGCTGTGACACGAATAACAACAACACAACATAGTAACAATCAACAACTCTTTCAACCACCACTCGTTTTGTTAAAAACTGCGAAGCTTTCACATAACAAAAATAAATTCACTACATGAAATATGTGCTTTTGAAGACGATAGTTATGAACAGAAATTATTTTCCAAGTAATTTAATAACGAGCCTAGAAAACTGGGACCTCCGACACCTAGATACGTTTTCGGCGAAAAAAAAAAGAAAAAAAGAACCATAACAAGGAAAGAAGTCATCGCTTATACCTGCAGGCTTCCCTTTAAGCAGAAGATTATTTCTTTCATTCGAAAATATGCAGTCGCACAACTTTTATGGATCGATGACTGGCCTTTGATCTAAATTAAGAAAAAATTTCACTTGTTTTCCGAAGAAAAAAAAGAACATACCGTAAATATTGGTACTAGTTCAGTTAAAAGAGTCTCAATCATAGTGGATGAGATATCAGCATCCACCGACCGAATGTCTTCTGTTCGTAAAATCACATCACCGATACTGTCCAAGAGGAACGAGACGATATTACCCAAAGTACATGAGTATACCATCTCAGGGAAAACCTCAAAAGTTATTCTATAAAAAGTTAGCAACCATGGTTAGATCACCTATATAGCAACTAACTAACGTCTTTAAGAAGGTTTGACACATTTTGAATGTGCATCAGACAAGCATTCAGCACATTTTTCGCTGCATCATAACGCTCAAGATCATCTATTCCTCCAAATACTGTAAATAATGCTATGAATACTAAAATAAGATTGTCATAACCAATCAAATTAGACTAAAAACAATGAAATGAACGCGGCTTTCTGATGTCAAGCGTTTCAAACGCTTGCACAGAAATTATGGCAAGCCTAAAAAAAAGGAAAGAAGCTACTAAAAGACCTATTAGAAGAAAAATAAATGTAACTGAAAACATGATAATGTAAACCAACAGTTTTCCTTGGTCATCATTACACTGATGTCACGCCGGCACTGCGCCATTGTCTAAGAATGTTGATAAATAAATGAAGCAACACCAATGGATACCAGCATTTACCTGTTCTAGAACATCTGCACCTATTTCACGTATTTTCCACAGCGAATCCGACAAAATAGGACGAAAATTCGTGTACTTAAACAAGCCATATTTCAAAAAAATGTAACAAAAACCAATTTGACTCATGATGATCATAAGAAGTTGAAAACCATCAACCTTAGCTGAATTTTTATCCACGTTCTTCAGTAGGCTAAACGGCATCAACATCAATCGATGGCAAATGTAGTAACAATTGTTGTAGAAAATTGCTGAAAGTACAGAATAGTTCCGCGAACAAACAAGTTCGATAGCCTTTCATAAAGACATTAAGTCACTCTAACCAGCCATATTAGGCATAGACGATATGGCAGTTCCATGATGACGTGATGCTGTTAAAGTAAATAACTGTAATACATTTCGTACCGTCAGTGTTAAACGACCACACAATTTCTGAAAGTTGAAGGAGGAAAGAACTACTACAGTACTACAAATCACTTATCATTCGGTTAAAGGGGATAAGCTACATTAAACTTACTTCATTATCCGTTTTAAGCGCATCCTGCAAGACATTGAAAATCAGTTCTATCAGGTCCACCGTTGATTGACTATAAATAACGCTCCTATTCCATAATAATAATAAAAAGAAGATAAACATATTGCAATGGTATTCATCTATACAAGAACTGTTGACAGTTAGCAGACAATCAATTGAACCAACGAGATCCACAAAAGTTATTTGAGGTTCCTTGAACATAATTTTCCCAGAAAAATAATTCTATAACTTTTTAAGGATCTGATTGCCAATTTGATTGGCTCAAAAAAAAAGAATGCGGATTTTTAACGGCACCACTGCTTTATTAACAATATATGAACCTATTAAGGTGCAGTGGTCGGAGGCGCCCTGCAATACATATGGTATCGATCTCCGCGCCCAGCCCCCATGAAGCCCTACATCGCCCGGGATAGGCAAGTTGGTACCAGACTTGTCTGAGAATAGCAGCACTGGCTCCATGCACCAGTAGGCCACCGCGAGTCACTGTAAACGCCAGATGTTCATTAAATCACTTACACAATGCTTAATGAAGTCGAATGCATGGCGCACCCCTCAGAGATGGATGAACGGCGGGAACTTTATCTATTATCATTTATATAAACCTATTTATTCCGATGGCACGGAGATTTTCAGAGTAAATTTTTTGGAGGTATTTTCTTCGGAATCTTGACTACTGCAGATCTTCTCAGGAAATATTTATTGAAGTTTTTGTAAATACGGCATTCGGTAAGAGAGCGGCCCTATGGGTACAGTTAAGAGGGTTTTGCTGCTAAATTCGCTCTCCATTAGCATTAGATATGCGAATTCCGGTCGAAAATCGCTGCTATGACACGTTTTTCTTCTTTTAGAGCATTATTTCATCGTCTAAAATGTTAGGAGGGTCTCAGAAAACCATTCGGCAAATATTGCGAAATATAACTTTTAATGATGCTGAGATATTTGCAAAGCTCCGGACCGCAGGTGTCTGCGGTGGGGAACGAACGACTAATAGTCATTTCAAACATCTATAAGTTTATCAATGATATCAAGCAAAGACAACTTCGAGATTCAACGAAAAAAAACTCACCTGACTTTACAACGAGGAAGTTGCAACAGTACAGGATAAGCGCTATCAGAAACATTCGCCGTGCTCTCCAATAATTTACTGAACAATTCTCTATACTGAAGAACTGTTTCTTCGTCAACTTCTTCGCCAATCCCCACCTGAAATTCATGTCGATGCCATTCATTGAGTCGAATCACCGACAATTTTTGGGTAGCTAGATCCCTAGATAGTTTAACAGACTCTATTCGCAAATTTTTCTAAGAAATCACTTCGAATTCGCCTAAGCTTCACATTTTCATGACGAATTAAGAAAGAAATTCAGAGTTTGAACGTTTGTTAACAGAGTCATTAACACGGAACATGTTAAACGCATGTTGATTAGTCATACCGCGGTTAAAAGAAAGTCGGTTTTCGAAATATTATTATGTATAGTGCTCCTTGGAACGAACAGAGTCAGCCGCTATCTGAAATTATCATGGCGACCAAGACCATCCATGGTAACTCACAATTCCAGAAGTCCCATCCTCAACGTTGGACGTAGGAGATTCCCAATGGTCTCCAGAGTACCATAACGAAATAGACCACGTAAATAGGTTTTGCCCAACCGATGTCGCTGCTGTCTCAAAATTCTGCACGGGATCAGACCACCGCCTCTCGTGCAAGATTCTATTTCTCGCGGAAAGGAGAAAAAACCGCAAATTCAAAAACCAAAGTCCGAGAACCACCATAAATTGGGACTTGTTCCATTCATTAGTCGGCTGTTGGGAAGATGCTGTTGTCGATACCATCGACGAAGAATACGATCTGCTCATTCAACATCTTCAAGTAATGAAACTAATTCGAAACTCACCAAGAGACGTCTGTCTCCAGAACCACTCGAGCTGATACGCCAGCGTGGAATCGCACGAGCTGCAGGCAGCCGCGAACTAACAAGCGAACTTGCAAGTCGATGTAGACAGGCGATAAAAGAAGATCTTAAAGGGAGAAGAGCAGCAGTAACGGTCAAAGCTGCAGAGGCCGGGAAAAGCATTCGCAAAACCCACCGAAGCTTCGTCAATTACAAGACCAAAATGATTGCACTCCGAAGCCCAGACGGAACAGCTACCCCGTCCAGAAAGGCAATGGAGAAAATCATTCACGAATACTATTGGGATCTCTTCGATAACCACGTCCATCTTTCGTCATATGAAATAAAGGAGGATAGATATGTTGTACCACCGGTTCTCCCCTCCGAAATCCAACGTGCCATTTCGTCGGTGGAAAATCGAACAGCACCAGGTCCAGACAGGATAAGATCAGAACACCTGAAAAACCTTCTGCCAGCCCTCGTGAACACACTGGCTCGGCTCTTCACACGTTACCTGTCTGAATGCAAGGTCGCAACAAAGTGGAAGACCAACAGAACCGGACTACTGTTCAAGGAAGGTGACTTACACGATATCTGCAACTATTGGCCAATCTGCTTGTTACCTGTCGTCTACAAGTTTTTCATTCTAGACATCCTAAACAGGATTGACAGAACACTAGACGAAGGACAAACATGTGAGCAAGCAGGATTTCGAAGAGGATTTAGTACGATGGACCACATCCACACGGTAACACGGCTCATTGAAGTATCGCGAGAGTACAAAAGACCGCTCTGTCTCACTTCCATCGATTTACAGAAGGCCTTTGTTCAGTTGAGATGGAAGCAGTCTGGGAAGTGCTTGATACTCAACGAGTCCCTACTCAGTACATAAAGATTCTTCGTGAGCTGTACAAAAATTTCACAACCAAGCTATCACCATTCTACATCGATATTAACATTGATATCAAAACAGGAGTTAGGCAAGGCGATACCATCTAGCTAAAATTATTCACCACCACCCTCCAGAACGTCATGCGAACATTGGAATGGGATAATATGGGAGTGAAAATCGATGGTCGGCAGTTACATCATCTTCGCTTTGCTGATGACATCGTCCTTATAACACCAAACATTAGCCAAGCGGAACGTATGCTTGCCGACTTTGATAAAGCGTGTGAAAAGATTGGCCTTCGACTAAATTTTACAAATACGATGTTCATAAAGAACGGACTGGTTTCGTATGCCCCATTCGCGCTCGACGGAACGAATTTCTCCGAATGCTCCAGTTGTGTCTATCTAGGTCGGAAATGAATATGGTGAACGACTTAGCTTCAGAGCAGAGCAGAAGGAAACGAGCGGCTTGTGGAACTTTCAAGAGCATCGAGGATGTAGTGAAGAGAACAAAGAACACCAGAGTCCGTGCCCACCTTTTCGACTCAACGATACTTCCTGCCCTAACGTATACGTCAGAAACCTGGTCGCTGCGTAAGCAGGGTGAAAGCGTTATCGAATGCGCAGTCGAAAGGACGATTCCAGGAGTATCCCGTTTCACACAACTAAGGGATGGGATCCGAAGCTGCGACCTGCTTCAACGATCAAAACTCAAAGATACCGTTCTGTACGCCAAACAGTTGAAGATAAGGTGGGCCGTACACGTAATGCGTATGAATGACAACCGATGGACAAGTGCTGCTAGTGATGGGATATCTCGGCATGTCAAACGCATTGCAGGAAGGCCACCGATGGTCGGAATTCTTCACGGAAAACCTATAAGAAAGATATGATGGTCGACGAATCCCTAGAGCGAACAGAACCCATTGCGCTACTCTTGCACGCGACAAGGAAAAAATGGAAAATTTACTGGCGCCCGTTCGAGTCACTGAACGATCAACGGGACTACGGGTGATACAGGTGATACAGTGCTCCTTGTGCTCCCTATATAGTCGGAGCACCACCAAGTGGTACTCGCTCGCGACAGAAGGGAGTGGAGTCCTTAATGATGCTTAACTCATTTCCACAATTACTAACATGATTAAAGGTAAAATAGGTGATACGTGCTGGCACTGATCTCTTTGGTCTAATGTTTTCTCACTCTATCGAGGCACGCGACTAATGAAACAGGCAGACCACAGCAGGCAAATTGGGCATTAGCCCCTGATGCCGACATCTCTTACACAACACGCCACAGTTGGCTGACGCTCGAAAGAAAGAACTTCTGAGACGACATATCCATTCCCTTAACAACGTGGATAATGTTTTCAGAAATAATGTGATACAGGCCAAGAATGCCCTACTCCTTCGCACTCAATGCAGAGTGTCATCCGACAACATTTCGTAGCGTACTAATCTTGTTCTTATATAAGAAATGTATAAGAAAAATGTATAAGAAAATCTGTGAGTGCTACGCAATCCTCTCTAAACTGCAGCTTCAGACAGCACTGCTTTCTCTAAGACTCCCTTTTGCGAATTTCTCTTAGTAGAACTTGTAGATCGTGCACATGTAGCGCAGGTCAGAGATGCTCTGCAATACATATTGCATTCAATCACCTCTAACGATGATAATGAAGTCGAATGCATGGCGCATCCCACAAGAATTCCGACAGCTTCATCCCTTATCCTTTAACTTTCAGCCCATACATAGCTATGGTCCCATACCATGAGGATGACAGATAACCCGACTGTATTTATCATCGATGTATGTGATCAAATCATTTTTTATTAAACTCTAAGGAATTCTTCGAAAATCCCTTTATGACTATGACTTGATCTTTCAAATTTAGAGTTTTCCCTCTACTCTACGAGAATTGAACATTAGATTGCAAATAACTAGACTACTAAGACTGGGAATACAACAAGTAGAGAAAATATAAGTGAATGTGATCTACGCTCCTGCACAATAATGACTGATTACAAAACCTGACAAAGGCTAAACCATCTGTCACCGACGTTTTACGAAGTAAGAAACTAAATACAAGATGCTATATGTAATAAGAAGACAGAACCTCTGCTAACATCAAATACGGCATGGTGATCAGCTCCTTCGCTTTCTTTAACACTTCCAAACATCGACGATCAATAAACATTGTGAAGTGTTCATTAGAGAACTCTTGGAATGTTGGTGTAGCATCGTTAAAGAAATGCATTTTCTAAAATGAAGAACCGCGGAACTTATTCTTTGGAAAACAGAATGAGAAGGATCAGAAGAATAGCAAAGCTAAACCAACCATCATATCCTCGCGGAATCGTTCTGCGATATCCATCGCAGCTTTCAACGTTAATTCAGCCGGATCGGTCAAAGGATACGCGTTC